ACAAAGGGCTCCCCGAAATAACAATCACACTGTATTTCAAACATCAACAAAAGGGTTATATTCTTACAAACTAAATGTTTATTTTATTTTATTTTTTACAAAAAATAATTAAAAATGTGGTTTAGCATCCAAAATCATAGGACAATCCTCAATTAAAAAGGTCTCTCTGCTCCAGTTCAAAAGGTTTGAAGGACAAGTCACTCACACCGAAATATCAAGCTACACACGGTACACACTCAAAGTATGTCCCACAGTGAATAGTATAATAAAAAAGCAGAGCAACTTCAAATCAGAATTGTAACAACCATGTACCCAAAGACAGAGGTCGTTTGCAGTGTTAAAGTGTTCTGTTTTCACAGGTGCCCCAATATCACAATAACCTGGACACCATCTTGTTGGACATTGGCCACAAGGCTGATGTCCTTCTCACTACATTGTCACCATTAAAGCACCATAAGAGATGGATGACATGAGATTGCAAATGTATGGACCAATGAACAGTGCAGTGGATATTAACATGATCTATCAAGAAATATATATTTTTAAGACATGAGCGATAACTTACCATAGAACCCTCATATTCAAATCTGAACCTTGAAGCCACTTCCACTGCTTTTTAAAAATGTATTATTCTTCCCCTCTAATCAGGGACTGATTTAAACCTGGGACACCAGGTAGGTGCAATTAATTATCAGGTACAACTGAAAACCAGCAGTACTCCAGACCTCCAGGGTAGGATTGAATGCCCCTGCCATAGAACATAGTCCTTCCTAGTCATTTTTCAGACCTGAAAGTATTCAACCCTACCCAAACATGTCACTGGTTAATACCAACATTGTCACAAACATTCATGAATGTTTTTCTTGCTTTAAGAATGCACATTTCATTTTGGGGTACTTTCTGAAATATGTTTTCCCTGAACTATTACATTTGTGGAAATTGGCCTATATGGATAGGGCTACATTGAAATGTTTCTTACAGAAGAAACATGAAAAGCAAATGCATTAGCATGGTAGCAATTGAAAGTGAACAGTTTGGAGATTATGGGAAAATTATTACACCAAAGTTGTGGACACAACAGTTTACCTGACAAGACTGAATTCAAACATTACACTGTTGATTTTATGTGCATTTTACATTTACTATACTGTGCCACATTTGTTGATAAAATCAGAAAATACTCTGATTACATCCAGTAACATAAGAATATTCCTGGAAAATGTGGGGTAGGTGCAACATAAGACAAAAAATCACAAGGGCTTGAGTTAGAGGACTATCTGGTGTCTCCAAGTGACCAAACACGTCTCCAAAGTGTACACAGTCCCTAAGTAATTTCAATGCACTTTTATGACTCAAAGAAGGGTTCAACTATACAGTGCTTTTTTTTAGCTCTCCTAGCTGTGCCGTTGAGGAACTAGAGCAAGCACACTTGTAGTCATTTTGTTTGGAACACAACCCTGCACCCACGCAATCAAACAATGACTGTTGTTTATGCAATCCAAAAACGGCCCATTATAAATCAAATAATTTGATAGCTTGTTCTATTGACAACATCACTAGCTAAGTTAGAAAATACGATCTTAATGTTAGGCTTTCACAAGGCAATTCCAAGAAATGGATCGTAATTTTGGTGCGCATAGAAAGGAGTCATGAGTGCATTCAGGTGCGTGTTCTGCAGCGAATTTTCTTCACAATAGACAAACATAGGCTCATTCTGGTCAGAACAACCCAGGGTATGACGCTTTGTCATCTTGTAACTGTACATCAAACATAATAATCATAAACATTGACACTGTATATAACATGAGTTTTATGATATGGAAAAGTGAAGTGCACATTTGGACTCACGGGTGTTTGGCTTGCATGTATGACATCAAAGCGGTATTTATTATAATCTTCAACGTCTCACCTTTCAAAATACATTGAGTCCTCTTAATTCATAACATTTCCCCCACTCAGACAACAAATTTGCCAAATTAGCGGGAGGGATGGGGGCAACTTCGTCTCGTGTGCAATGCTCAAGTTCAGAACAGCTGTCAGTCAAAACCCATTCAGCGCTCTGAAGCACAGAACCTGAGCACTGACGTCATTTATAGCATTACTGCGTTCCAATTTAGGCGCTTATCAGACATTTTCAACCAATATACGGGTACGAGTGTAACAGGTTAAGACAGGGCTTTACAAAGTGGTTTTGTTCTCTTGTATTTGTGTTTATGTGAAAAGATGTGACATTCTATCAAAATACGGAATTCTATGGGATCCAAGTGTCATTGAAGACATTATTTGGTCACCTCCCATGTACAGGCAGCATGCAACATTGTATATTGCGTTAAAGCGATAGTTTTGCTAGCGACAACTTGCTAGTGATCTAGGCTAAGTGAAATATCTTAAAAGTGCAACACACCATGAGTAAGAAAATACATCACCTGTTTCAAAGTCAGGCCGAGGAAAGGGGGGGGAAAAGCAAGTACAATTCCTATTATGTACAGTGCATTCGGAAAGTATTCAGACCCCATGACTTTTTCCACTTTGTTACGTTACAGCCATATTCTAAAATGAATTAAATAAAATGTTTTCCCTAAATTTATACACAATACACCCATAATGACAAAGCGAAAACCGGTTTCGAGAAATGTTTGCAAATTTATAAAAAATTAAAATCAGAAATACGTTATTTACATAAGTATTCAGACCATTTGCTATGATAATCAAAATTGAGCTCAGGTGCATCCTGTTTACATTGATCCATCCTTGAGATGTTTCAACAACTTGATTGGAGTCCACCTGTTGTAAATTCAATTGATTGGACATGATTTGGAAAGGCACACACCTGTCTATATAAAAGGTCCCACAGTTGACAGTGCATGTCAGAGCAAAAACCAAGTCCTGAGGTTGAAGGAATTGTCCATAGAGCTCCGAGACAGGATTGTGTCGAGGCACAGATCTGGGGAAGGGTACCAAAAAATGTCTGCAGCATTGAAGGTCCCCAAGAACACAGTGGCCTCCATCATTCTTAAAATGGAAGAAGTTTGGAACCACCAAGACTCTTCCTAGAGCTGGCCGCCCGGCCAAACTGAGCAATCGGGGGAGAAGGGCCTTGGTCAGGGAGGTGACCAAGAACCCAATGGTCACCCTGACAGAGCTCCAGAGTTCCTCTGTGGAGATGGGAGAACCTGCAGCACTCCACCAATCAGGTCTTTATGGTAGAGTGGCCAAACGGAAGCCACTCCTCAGTAAAAAGGCACATGCCAGCCCACTTAGAGTTTGCCAAAAGGCACCTAAAGGACTCTCAGACCATGAGAAACCAGATTCTCTGGTCTGATGAAACCAAGACTGAACTCTTTGGCTTGAATGCCAAGCGTCACGTCTGGAGGAAACCTGGTGGTGGCACCATCATGCTGGGGGGATGTACCGAGCAAAGTACAGAGAGATCCTTGATGAAAACCTGCTCCAGAGCGCCCAGGACCTCAGACTGGGGTGAAGGTTCACCTTCCAACAGAACAATGAACCTAAGCACACAGCCAAGACAACGCAGGTGTGGCGTCGGGACAAGTCTCTGAATGTCTAAGTGGCCCAGCCAGAGCCCGGACTTGAAACAGATCTAACATCTCTGGAAAGACCTGAAAATAGCTGTGCAGTGATGCTCCCCATCCAACCTGACAGAGCTTGAGAGGATCTGCAGAGAAGAATGGGAGAAACTTCCCAAATACAGGAGTGCCAAGCTTGTAGCGTCACACCCAAGAAGACTCGAGTCCATAATCGCTGTCAAAGGTGCTTCAACAAAGTACTGAGTAAAGGGTCTGAAAACTTTTGTAAATGTATATTTCCATTTTTAAAACCTGTTTTTGCTTTGTCATTATGGGGTATTGTGCGTAGATTGATGAGAAAAAAACCAATTTAATCAATTTTAGAATAACACTGTAACGTAACAAAATATGGAAAAAGCCAAGGGTCTGAATACTTTCCGAATGCACCTTAAAGCCAAGAACATAAATATATGTTATTTTTATAAAGCACAATGACATAGCTAAAAGCTATCTAATATTCTCAAACCAATGAACCTCAAAACTAAAAACGTATTCAAACAGGATAAGCAGGATTTTTATGTCAAATGGAAATGTATTATGAATGTGATGTTCAAAAGATTTCCCCGAAATTGTGTTTCTGTATTTGTTTGCTTATGTTCAGATTTTTGTTAAGAAACCGGCAGGCGTGTGTACTCTCTAAACTGTAATGCATTTGACACCTAGCAGCTAGAATTCATAATTGAAAAAATTATAATACATCCAAAACCCATTTCCTCTTGAGCATTGAATTTCTCATCACTATTGGTTTGACAACAATTTAAATCCTGGGATATTCAATACCCCCAACTGGCAAGTAAGTTTGTTTTGCCTGTACAATTTCTATATAGGTCTTAACACTTTCCAGTTACTTAAACAGCAGAAACCTAGCATTCAAAGATTAGCTAATTATGTTGACGCCCCAGATTCCATGGAGAAAAACCACAGGTCCTTGGTCATCGTCAGAGGATTGATGTTAAGCACTGTCAGTCACAGGCTGAAAGAAAAGCATGGAGAAAATGTTACATTGCATCAGCAATTTTCATGTTTTAAAATAATGTTGGATATGAACCAAACACCACCAACTATTCAAAGTTAAGTGGATCAGGGGTGAGTTTCTCAAAAACCTTGTTGCCAGCGCAGCACTATACATTTCTTGATGACCCAGCTCGCGTAGAACAGCAAAGTGCTTAATTTGATGAATTTCGTTAGTCCAAGCATAGAAGATTGTCAAGAGAAATAACAGGCCATATTAGCTTCAAGGCTTTTGGAAAACTCACCCTGGGTCAGGCCCTGATGTATGACCAAATGAATAGATCTTCTCGGAACAGGAGATTGGTGTAAAACATAGTGAAGGATACATTTAATTTATTAGTAGTATTTTTTAAGTTGTTTAATATGTCTCTAACTCAACAGGCAAAAGACAGCTTCCCTCACCTTCTCTGATGTTAATTGGGCCTCAGTCAGTGGTTTTGCCTGGCCCTCTGGCTTTGGTTCGCCTGCGGAAGACAGTGCTGTGGGCTTAGGCCCTGCCTTGTCATTGAGCTTCAGCTCGGTGTCAGACTTCTTGCTATCCACCTTCGAGTCACCTTTGCTCTCTGTGTCCTTAGGTTCGTTTAGGAGAGCTCTTCGGAGAGACAGAAAGACACATCACACTTATTCAAGTGTCATGTTCCCCGAAGTCGGCAAACATACATGATTGTTTACTTAATTTTGCTTTTTTTGTTACTGTTTCAAATAAACAACCTCTTAAAAACCTTTAAAATACTATGCAATGCCAGTTTCCTTACGACAAGCAAAGTGACCCACACCTGCCACCTTTCTATTTAATATTCGTAGCACTTTATAATAACACCTTGTAATAAAGCATTTATAATGGATTAGTAAATAGTTTATTCATTAATCATTACTCCAACATTTGTTAACGTTAGTATGCTAGCTATTCACATATTTATAAACGTTTAAAGTATGTAATAATGATCCATAGGATAATTTATAAGATGTTTAATATAGGTCCTTATAAACCATTTACTAATCATTAGTAAAGACTTTTGCGTGACCTCATCTAAAGTGAGGGCTATTTATACATTATGTTTTGAGTGACCAGTGTAATTTCTCACAAAAAGATGGACATGCATTGGTAGACATTCCAGCAGTACCTGATGCTCCTTAAGGTCTCAAAATAGCCTAGAACATACAGTATCAATGGTAAAAGAATAAGCACACAACACATAATGTTAAAGGAAACATTGCGAAGATTGTAGTCATAAAAACTGTTGTAAAACAACTGTTTCAAGGACGTGAGGAAACATTGTAATGCAAATGTTTTGCTAATGTTGTCAATCTCTCAAACCAGAACTAATCATAAAACAGGGAGATGTAGCCTACACACACAGCTGGCCGGACCGGCCAGTATTTCTCTAGTGGGTTTTTATTCCTTCATTACAACATATGTGATTGAGTTAGAAATGTTACATGTATAACCTTTAAATGCTTCCAGTGCCTCAGTCTTTTAAACTCAGAATATTGTAACACTTTGCTTTGTTTGGCGGCACTTTTACTAGCCTTTAAAGGGTAGTAACTATTTAAACGTAATGGGATAGTTCAGCGAAATTATGTATTCAGGTATTTGTTTTCTTACCACGTAAGCAGTCTATGGACTGCTCTAAGGAGCAACTGCAATCCACACTGGTTTTGGTAGTAAAATCACTGCCAAAAAAAGGGTAATGTTTGCATTTTCGGACAAAAACTTTACTTTACTCAGCATAGAGTGTGTCTGAAGTTACACATCACACTATTAAAAGTGTGACTATTTGTATTTATTAAGGATCCCCTTTAGCTGCTGCCAAGGCATCAGCTACTCTTCTTGGGGTCCAGTAAAATTAAGGCAGTTATACAATTTTAAAAACATAACTATACATTCTCAACAGATTTCACAACACATTAAGGGTGTGGCCTCAGGCCCTACTCTACTACCACTGTTCTGGAATAAAATGTTCACTATATTTCCTTAAACATCGTCTGTATTGTGTGATTATTGTTTAACCATCGATATGTTCTAGGCCATTTTGAAAACTTAAAGCTGGAATGCTTAATGGTGAAACTGCCATGTCCGTTTGCGATATTTCAACAAAGTTACTGCAAACTGTACATGCCCTTATATCAGTAATCAGTCAAAAAGAGAGTATCTTGTCCTGGTCCTGAAATCTGCTCCAGCATTCATCCCAGTAATCAGCAACAGAGCATTGGGGTAGGTATATGTCTGACAATGTGTGCGCAATTACAATGATAATTTAAGACGGTCAATTTAAAAAAAAGTATATAACATAAACATACTGTTGACACGTAGGCTATGGTGTAATGGAATGTTTTGCCTTTGGTAGGTTTTGTGGGTTGACACTTATGTATGCGTCATAAATCAGCTATAAAATAACGCAATATACGGCACAACTGGTCATGACAGTGTTATGACCATATTATAACAAATTAAGTATACTGTTTTGACATATTATGACATGGTCATGACTGTGTCATAACGTGTTATGACGCTGGCTGTAAAGTGTTACCTACTTATCTCTATTACAAGGCGTTATTATAAACCGCTACTGAATATTCCTGTGGAATATACACAGAGTTTACAAAACATTAGGAACACCTTCCTAATATTTTGCCGTCAGAACAGCCTCAATTTGTCAGGGCATGGACTTTACAAGGTGTCAAGCGTTCTACAGGAATGCTGCCCGATGTTGACTCCAATGCTTCCCACAGTTGTGTTAAGTTGGCTGGATGTCCATTGTGTGGTGGACTATTCTTGATACGCATGGGAAACTGTTGAGTGTGAAAAACCCAGCAGCGTTGCAGTTCTTGGCACAAACCGGTGCGCCTGGCACATACTATCATACCCCGTTCAAAGGCACTTAAATATTTTGTCTTGCCCATTCACCCTCTGAATGGCACACATACACAATCCATGTCTCAAGGCTTAAAAAGCCTTCTTTAACCTCTCCTCACCTTCCTCTACAATGATTGAAGCGGATTTAACAAGTGACATCAATAAGGGATCACAGCTTTCACCTGGATTCACTTGGTCAGTCTGTGTCATGGACAGAGAAGGTGTTCATAATGTTTTATACACTCTGTATAATGCAGCCTAAAGCAGAAAATGGTCATGCCATCACCTGTGAGTAAGTTCTTCGCCAATAACAGCCAGTACCAGTCATTCACATGAAGAGGAGACGGAGATAAAGGGTTCGCAGATGCGGGTGCCTTGTGAGAATTTGTCGGCGAGTGGGTAACCTGCCTCTACCATCCATCCTATTGTCAGTCATTGACTGTTCTCTCTGCTACCGCACGGCAAGCAGTACCGGAGCGCCAAGTCTAGGTCCAAAAGGCTCCTTAACAGCTTCTACCCCCAAGCCATAAGACTGCTGAACAATTAATCAAATGGCTACCCTTACTATTTACATTGACCCCCCCCCCCCCCCCCCACCTTTTTTGTGTTGTTTCTTTTTACACTGCTGCTACTCGCTGTTTATTATCTATGCATAGTCACTTTACCCCGACCTACATGTACCTCAATTACCTTGACTAACCTGTACCCCCACACATTGACTCGGTACCCCCTGTATATAGCCTCGTTATTGTTATTTTATTGTGTTACTTTTTTATACATTTGTTTATTTAGTAAATATTTTCTTAACTCTATTTTCTTAAAACTGCATTGTTGGTTAAGGGCTTGTAAGTAAGCATTTCACGGTAAGCTCTACACCTGTTGTATTCAGCGCATGTGACAAATACAATTTGATATCAAGTGCACTATAGGCCTTCCGCTGGCCAATCGGATGGCTCAGATGACCCTGTCTGCAGTAATTTAGCAGGCATAAAAGAAAGCTACAGCAAAGTTGATACTGTGAGATTTCAAAACGTTTAAAACCATGACTAGAGAGAGACTGTCAACGAATACAGCAAAGAGATGCTGTGTTTATGAGTGAGTTCATGTTTAAGTTCTTACTCAGCACTGTCAACACTTTGTATTCAACACTTTCATTAGCCATAAAATGCGCGTTCCTACTATTTCCACTCAGCGCTACAACAAGCACTGCAGCAGTAATGAATGAGTTGGAAAGTGTATCTATAGGCATGTATTGTTGTTATTATTAGCAGCTTGGGTCTTTTTTAATATCAAGGAATATTTCACTTTCTCTGTTCATAGGAGTAACATGAATTTGTGCATGAGGCAGAAATTATGTGGTGCAAAGATGTCCCTTTTTGTGTTCAGCGCCAGTGGAGGAAAGGGAGAGTGGAGGGATGTTGAGAGGCAGACCCTCAGTCTGCTGCTCTCTCCCTCTACTAAGACTGACCATCAGATGCAGGCACCATCAGCCCAGTAAAATAAAAAGCTCATTTAAATGTATGCTCACTCAGCTGCGCCTCACAAGTAATACAACTGATCAATTACCGGTGTGATCATATAGCCTACCTCAAATTTTGAAATATAATTTTTTTTAATGGACCCAACAACAATGCACTGGCAGGGCAATTCAAGCAAAGCCAATATGCGGTGATAATGTATTGGGCCTATAGCTTACTGCACAAACCTCATTGCTACAGTACTGTTTTTAATAGGTCAATGTTGCATAAGCTTATGTTTTTTAAGTAATGTTTAAAAAAATCTGAGCAGTAGATCTCTGCTTGCATTTTGACTCAGAAAAGGTTGGTGACCACTGTTCTACAGTTTTCCCTATTAACACTATCAACGTTTCCCTTTACTGTGGCAATTGTGATCGAATCAATGCAATATTAGCCACTTTCAATGCAACATACCGAAACAAAACAAATTATGCAAGAGATTTTGTTGTAGGCAGAACACATCGGAGTAGGATACTATTGCATTGACACGCACACCTAAGCCCATACTCTACACAGACAGGTGTGGCATAAACATTTCAGAGCTGCAGTAGGCCTACATGCAATTAGACCATTGCCATATATGGATCTGTGCCATTTACTCTGAACTGGACTGTGTTTACAGCATGAGATGCGCTTGTTTTGAGATCAAAGCAAGAGCTGCATATAGCCACTTATAATTTGCTATTTAGTGAGTTAACCCAGTTAGACTTTTTTTTACATTTTAGTCATTTTAGCAGACGCTCTTATCCAGAGCGACTTACAGGAGCAATAAGGGCACATTGACAGATTTTTCACCTAGTCGGCTCGGGGACTCGAACCAGCGACCTTTCGATTACTGGCCCAACGCTCTTAACCACTAAGCTACCTGTTATCAGCAATACGGGAGTGATTGCTTCCTACACTAGCACCAAACGTGTACATTTCTAGACATCTTCGAAAAGCGAGTCAGGTAAATAACTTTTTTTGTCTTAAAGGGGAAATGTTGTATTTTGAGACAGGCTTGAATAAGCTAAGTAGCCAATAATTTGTCTGATTCGCTGTAATAATAGTATGGGAATAATAATGCATTGTATTTTGTAAAGTAGTTTCTTGCATCAAACAACATTTTCAGTCACTTTGTCTAAAAGATAAGTGGATAAACAGGTTAATGTCAAGCCCTGCATATTTTTTTTATTTTCTCATGGAATGTAGGCCTACATTGAACACCACACATTGGCTGCTACTGTAGGCTGAATGATAGAACAGCTATTTCCATGTTAAAATGTTATGGGATGCATTTTCTCCATTGTTGTTGATGGTAGGACACTCTAGTAGGACTACATTATGATCAAATAGCCAAAGTAGCCTACGTGGCCACTGTTAAAACTTAAAGCGGGTACAGCCTCAGTGCTCACAGTAAACGCGAGCTGGAAGCTGCACAGAATTTTCACAACGTTCAAGTTTGCGCTCAGCAAACATGAAATTTGCTCAGTGCAGAAAAAAATTAGGGAACATTGCTTGTGACTGATACTTACCTCGACGGAACCCCCAGCTTTCCTCTTGGCTACTCCCCTGTCGTTCTTCTCATCGATGATGAGGGTCCCTTCATCCTCATCACTGCTTCCTTCTGCATTCCCCTTTCGTGGCCCACCTGCCTCCACCATCCCCTCTGCTGGGGTCTCCTTTGCCGGCTGGGGGAGAAAGAACATAATTAAGGCAGGAAAACTTGGTGAATTACTCCTTGTAGTTGCTGAGGTTGAGTATAGGTAAATGTGTATTTGGGAGTATTTTTCGTCATTGATGATAAAGTAATAGGGATTTTGTGTTCCCAGAATAGGAAAAAGAAACATTGTGTGGTGTGCGTCTTAATATTTGCTAAAATCATACGTTGTGTCACACAGGAACAAAGGTTCACGCACGTCGGCAGGTAGACAGACACCTCCCTTTCCGTCGTACTCTAAGCACACACACACCTCATAGCCTGTGGGTTCGTGTACCACCGTAGGGTTGTTCTCAATTTCCCATAGACCCTCACTGAAGCCTTTCCTCTTGGTGGGCTTGCCAAACTTCTCCTTGCCCTCCTCATAGGGGAACAAGTCCTTGGGACCCAGGAATGCCCTGAGAGGGCAAAGGTTAGAAAGTTCAAAGGTTGACGCGTGCAACCACCTACAGAGCTTCAAAATACTATTCTATGGAGCTACCAGGTAATAGGGTAATGTCTAATTCCAAATGAACCGCCTAATGCACTTGTGGAGATTTGGAGAGAATTTGATAGGTGTAAGGAACAATATGGTTGTAGCTCCAACTTGTTCTCCAACAAGCTAGTCTGTATTTTCACCATATTACTTACATATCAAAGCCTCTCAGATCTCCACAAGTGTATAGAAGGTAGGGGCTCATTTGGAATTGTGATAGGATTCATCGCATCAAAAAACATATTCACTTACGTCTCATGTGTCCCAAAGAAGAACACTTGGTACTTGTTTGCGGGGGACTTGACTGCTCCTTCAGGTAACTCGTTAATCTGCGGAAGAAGGAAACAGGGAGTGTAATCTTTTAGTGAGTGCTTCTGAAACGTCCACCAGAAATAAATCAAAAATTGTTGCTCAACCAGAAGGCGAACTAACAAAGAGTCACTAACAACCAAACTAAATAGGTGGGGTTCAGAAGGACACTCATGGGGTGTACACTGAAAGTTAGCAACAACAACTGGGGCATAAAAGGCACCCATCATGACTAAATTTGCCCAAGAGGAGGCAAACAAAATGAAAACCCACACCAAACTTAAATACAGGAAGCAAAACAAAAAAATGGAGCAAAACAAAAAACAGGGATGATCAGATAAAGGATAGTTTTTTAAAGAAATGAAATAGAGAGAGACAACTAAAGGCGTTAACCCTTCACAGCTCTCAAGGCAAATGGATCACTAGGCCAGCACAGGTGAAACACCTTCTGACTAACGAGGTGACACTAATCGGTGAGCCCAACGTCCAACCTCGAAATATAAATGAAAAAAAAACAGCACGTAACACTTCATCAAACTAAATGAAAACTAGTGGTAAAACTTCAACAAAAAGTGCACATGATATTGATTTATGAATTGCAGGAGCACTACAAACATAAAATATTTAGTTTGGCTACTGAAACAAAGAAAAGAGACAGACCAGCGTAAACAAAAAGGCCAGTGCTGCATTAAGGTAATTTAAAATGTACTTCACACTCGACAGGCCTGGTTGTAAGTGCTTTAATGACTGACAAACACTTTTGTTTTCTCACTCAAATACACACATAGCATAAATGACTGCAATTTAGAGTTGTCAAAATGGTGTCACTCTCCCCAAGGCAAATATTGGGCAATGAATACAGTGGCAAATCAATAAGTCTCTTCACTGACTCACTTTGAGCTGAACAACAATAAACAACACAGGCAGACCTGTGTGTGTGTGTGCAGTGAGAGGAAAAAAGTATTTGATCCCCTGCTGATTTTGTATGTTTGCCCACTGACAAAGAAATAATCAGTCTACAATTTTAATGGTAGGTTTATTTGAACAGTGAGTGACAGAATTACAACATAAAAATCCAGAAAAACGCATGTCAAAAATGTTATAAATTGATTTGCATTTTAAATGAGGGAAATAAGTATTTGACCCCCTCTCAACCAGGTAACGAGCTGAGATTAGGACCACACTCTTAAAGGGAGTGCTCCTAATCTCAGCATGTTACCTGTATAAAAGACACCTGTCCACAGAAGCAATCAATCAGATTCCAAACTCTCCACCATGGCCAAGACCAAAGAGCTCTACAAGGATGTCAGGGACAAGATTGTAGACCTACACAAGGCTGGAATGGGCTACAAGACCATCGCCAAGCAGCTTGGTGAGAAGGTGACAACAGTTGGTGCGATTATTCGCAAATGGAAGAAACACAAAAGCACTGTCAATCTCCCTCGGCCTGGGGCTCCATGCAAGATCTCACCTCGTGGAGTTGCAATGATCATGAGAACGGTGAGGGATCAGCCCAGAACTACACGGGAGGATCTTGTCAATGATCTCAAGGCAGCTGGGACCATTGTCACCAAGAAAACAATTGGTAACACACTACGCCGTGAAGGACTGAAATCCTGCAGCGCCCGCAAGGTCCCCCTGATCAAGAAAGCAGATATACAGGGCCGTCTGAAGTTTGCCAATGAACATCTGAATGATTCAGAGGAGAACTGGGTGAAAGTGTTGTGGTCAGATGAGACCGAAATCGAGCTCTTTGGCATCAACTCAACTCGCCGTGTTTGGAGGAGGAGGAATGCTGCCTATGACCCCAAGAACACCATCCCCACCGTCAAACATGGAGGTGGAAACATTATGCTTTGGGGGTGTTTTTCTGCTAAGGGGACAGGACAACTTCACCGCATTAAAGGGACGATGGACGGGGCCATGTACCGTCAAATCTTGGGTGAGAACCTCCTTCCCTCAGCCAGGGTATTGAAAATGGGTCGTGGATGGGTATTCCAGCATGACAATGACCCAAAACACACGGCCAAGGCAACAAAGGAGTGGCTCAAGAAGAAGCACAAGCTGAAAGTTCGAGTTGCCAAACGTCAGCCTCGAAACCTTAATAACTTCTGCAAAGAGGAGTGGAACAAAATCCCTCCTGAGATGTGTGCAAACCTGGTGGCCAACTACAAGAAACATCTGACCTCTGTGATTGCCAACAAGGGTTTTGCCACCAAGTACTAAGTCATGTTTTGCAGAGGGGTCAAATACTTATTTCCCTCATTAAAATGCAAATCAATTCATAACATTTTTGACATGCGTTTTTCTGGATTTTTTTGTTGTTATTCTGTCTCTCACTGTTCAAATAAACCTACCATTAAAATTATAGACTGATCATGTCTTGTCAATGGGCAAACATACAAAATCAGCAGGGGATCAAATACTTTTTTCCCCTCACTCCATGTTTGGCATTATGGGCTAGTTTAGGGAATAGTAATGAATTTTTGTTTCGCGTGCTATGAATGTGCATGCACATCTGGGATCGTGCATAAATGTATTAATAAACCAATGCTTATGTGAGTGTATACTTTTCTGCGTGCTCATTTGACACATTCTTTGGTGTAGTTGCACATTTGCAGGTGTCCGACATGAACACACACACAGAAATAGAAAGACAGATTTTAAGAATTAACATTTCAGCAGTAGGCCTAAATTAGTCCTACTTTCATCTCTAATTACATTTCTATGCTCACATATCTGCTTTTATTCAAAACTATGTAAGATCAAAGGATTATAATTGATTCTCTACACTATCTTATTTTCTCACAAACTGAAATTAGGAGACTATTAGTTTTAGCAACCAGGAAATGGCTGAGCACGGGAAGCATAGAAATAGCGCACATAGAACAGATATACCATTTCTTAGACGTGCTTTCAAGTAGAATGATAGATCTCTAACTCAAATGTCTATGTGAATTTGGTCGCCCAAAAAGTTACATATTGCCACTTTAAAATACGTGAAGGGAAGTGAACAAGTGCACACTTTGGAAGCAAGGAGAGATTATTGAGACAACCCTGGACAGGTGAAAATAAATATCCACCATATTGCTTCACCTAGGCTACCTTGTTTTCAGATCAAGGAGAGGAGATTAAGACTAGACAGGATTGAGAGGTACCCATGATCTTTCTCTGTGGGACGCAGCTATGGTGTGTTGTACAGGAAGCCCTGTGACAACGGTTGGGCCCTGAGTCACTGTGCCCGTCGGCCTGCCTGCCTCACTGTGCCACCTTGCTTCCTGATGGGCTTCATGCCAAAGAGGCCCTATAGGCGTGCCCGTTGTGTGTCTTACCAGTGTGTGTTTGGTGGGCTGGGGCGGGGCGGGGCGGGGCAGGGGCATTGACTGTCGACAGTCTGGTAAAGGCCAAGGAGGGAGGAGTAGTGGGAGAAGAGACAGACAGACAGAAAACAAGAGGGGGGGGGGGGTATATGCATTGTTCCAGGGATCTGACCAGCCATGTCCTGTATCTATGGTTATCGTAGGCTGAAAGCCATTCTGAGCTTTCTGATATCACTCTATATTTTACCCATTATCTTAACCATTAAACTTCCCCCAAACTGAACGATAGCCTCTTCCTAGCCACTTTTCTGTTCCATGTCTATTGAATTGCCTGAACTTAATGAGAAGTATCTAGTAGGCTAAGATCACATTTGAAGAGAAAAGTAGCTATTTGACACTTATTGCACCTGTGAGATCTGGCCAATGGGGTTTGTTGAATATTCTACCCAATATCTGGCATTTGACACAGGACATGCTCATGAACATTGTCCCTAGTTTCCAACCGTAAACTTTTGTAACAGTGCCCTCTAGGCATCTGGCTGTGAATTTCTGTAATGTACAGTACACTGCTATCATGAGCAATGCAAAATTAATACAAATTAACAAATAACACATTCTGCCATGGAGAAGTAACATTGGTTGTGGAATTAACATTTATACAATCATTTTCAAACAGCATGAAGCTTGCACTTGTATGCACTAACTAGTCATACAAAGGCATCAAATACTTTTGTGATCAAAAGGCATACTCATTGTAAAATATGAATAGACTACTTTTTTAATAATTATTTTTGTCTTCAGCTGGTCATTTCCCAATATTATTTGGAGGAGGCTACTGTGCAAAGGTATAGATTACAGAAGTAAATTGGGCATGACCTTTGACGAAACAAAATGTATGAAACTTTTATAAGTTTCCAACTGCTGTTGTTGAAGAAATTGGTAGACTATTCACTTGAAACTAATCCACGTTGCAGAAACAGTTAATTACACTTCAATGGATTTAGAATGCCTCAGGAAGGGAGAAACGTTTTCATAGTGCACCAATTCAGGCAATGTTTGTTCTCCTTTGCCCAAGGAGATATATATCAACAATGGCAATTCTCATTAATGACAATAAATCACCTACTTTCCCCTAATTTGCAATGGAGTCTGGGCTAAAATACAACATTTACATTACCGTTACAATAGGCTCGTGCATTGCTGCCAGACAATCAAACGCCGCCGCTGCCGCCAAATATGATCCATTCGGGAATTACCACACTGTAGCAAACTCGGTTACAATGTTTCAAAGTATCCATTTCACGACTCGCCTCAACATTGTATTACATTCACATTGTAAAATGCTACTGATTGGACTTGGAATAGCTTAATATTCTAGAAGTCCTGGGGTAATTGACCTTAAAAGTAGGCTACTCGAGCCTATTTGTTACAGAAGTTGAAGATATTTAATATGTTTGTTTACATGAAGCCAGGATCTATCGAACAGCCTATACTAGGCCTCGTATCAATAGTTAAATTAAACAGTGTCTCTGCAAACTGAACAGTAATCAGGACGGCATTCACTAGGTTACTGTTAAAGTATATTTACTGCTACAATAGGAGATTTCACATTTCTCAAAATGAAACACCGAATGTACAAAAAAATGTCACTTGCCTATTTGACAGCACGTACTCATACGCCAATAAACTTTGCAAAGACAAGGGGGTAGGCCTCATTGAACTGATCTAGCAGATAGGCCTAAATGCATGTGTAATAGACAATACGTAAGCCTACTATTAGCGTTTGGTTTAGTAAGAAGAAAAGTATGAAGGACCTTACCCTCGCGGGCCAATGTGGATAACCCTTCATTTTCGCAAACACGAGATCCCCAGGCTTGTATTCTTTTTGCCTATTCGACCTCGGCATGGCTTCTCAGTGGATTAATAAGATATATAAAAATATATAAAATGTACAATGTCGGTTTACTGTTGCAAGTAAGAACACCGAGATATAGCCACCTAGAGGATTGCACTTGTTAGGTTAGGTGCTTCAGGTTTTCGCGTCAAAATTAAATTTGGAACGTGAACGCAAACGAATTGGTAAATGTGCAGGGTCCAGTGCTTTGCAGAGTGTGGTTACAAGCTGCACCTATCAAATGTAATTTTCTTATTTTTTAAAACAAAAAATCCCGTTATTCCTGCCGTTCTAATCCTCTGTAGCCTATCTATAGACCTTGTTTTTGTTTGAAATTGGGAACCGCTTCGCTCTTCTGGGCAGACTCATTATCTGAGATTGACTAGTAGGGTCTAGGCCATCTTAATATGCTTCTTCTTCTTCTTCTTCTTCAGGGGGGTTTATCGGCGGTTGGCATCCAACGTTATGGTGCATTACCGCCACCTATCGTACTGGAGTGTGGGCCAGAGACAGGGATTACATTTACATTTACGTAATTTAGCAGACGCTCTTATCCAGAGTGATTTACAAATTGGTGCATTCACCAATTCGCCAGTGGGATAACCACTTAACAATAAAATATATATATATATATATATTTTTTTTTTTTTCTTTCTTTGGGGTGGGGTAAGGGGGGGTAGAATGATTACTTTATCCTATCCAAGGTATTCCTTAAAGAGGTGGGTTTTCAAGTGTCTCCGGAAGGTGGTGAGTGACTCTGCTGTCCTGGCGTCGTGAGGGAGCTTGTTCCACCATTTGGGTGCCAGAGCAGCGAACAGTTTTGATTGGGCTGAGCGGGAACTGTGCTTCCGCAGAGGTAGGGGGGCCAGCAGGCCAGAGGTGGATGAACGCAATGCCCTCGTTTGGGTGTAGGGACTGATCAGAGCCTGACGGTACGGAGGTGCCGTTCCCCTCACAGCTCCGTAGGCAAGCACCATGGTCTTGTAGCAGATGCGATCTTCAACTGGAAGCCAGTGGAGTGTGCGGAGGAGCGGGGTGACGTGAGAGAACTTGGGAAGGTTGAACACCAGACGGGCTGCGGCATTCTGGATGAGTTGTAGGGGTTTAATGGCACAGGCAGGGAGCCCAGCCAACAGCGAGTTGCAGTAATCCAGACGGGAGATGACAAGTGTGTAAGGCAGGGTCGTACTCTCCGAATGTTGTAGAGCATGAACCTACAGGATTGGGTCACCGCCTTGATGTTAGCGGAGAACGACAGGGAGTTGTCCAGGGTCACGCCAAGGCTCTTCGCACTCTGGGAGGAGGACACAATGGAGTTGTCAACCGTGATGGCGAGATCATGGAACGGGCAGTCCTTCCCCGGGAGGAAGAGCAGCTCCGTCTTGCCGAGGTTCAGCTTGAGGTGGTGATCCGTCATCCACACTGATATGTCTGCCAGACATGCAGAGATGTGATTCGCCACCTGGTTATCAGAAGGGGGAAAGGAGAAGATTAGTTGTGTGTCGTCTGCGTAGCAATGATAGTAGATGCCATGTGAGGATATGACAGAGCCAAGTGACTTGGTGTATAGCGAGAATAGGAGAGGGCCTAGAACTGAGCCCTGGGGGACACCAGTGGTGAGAGCACGTGGAGCGGAGACAGATTCTCGCCACGCCACTTGGTAGGAGCGACCGGTCAGGTAGGACGCAATCCAAGAGTGAGCCGCGCCGGAGATGCCCAACTCGGAGAGGGTGGAGAGGAGGATCTGATGGTTCACAGTATCAAAGGATAAACTAAATCCTACCTGCCAACTCAGTTTCTCTTAAAAAATACAACAAAATATGTGATACTATATCTAATGACGTTCTACTCAATATACTCTTTAAACTAATTTCCTGTATCCCCTTCTCCCTCATACTTAATCTCATCCTCTCTCTTTCCCTCTGATACTGCTCACACTGTAGCAATACATGCTCCACAGTCTCTATTTCCTGACAATAATCACATTTTCCTGATGGATGCTTTCCTATCACGCTTAGTGTCTTATTCAACTGGCTGTGTCCCTGTAGGTTGAAACCCAATAATTCATTACCAGCTGCTGTCTCCTAATCTGCAATGGCATATCCCCCATCTCCACCTGTAATGCAGCCACTGGGGACGTTCGAAACGCCACACTACATATTCTGAGTCCTTGACCCTGTATGACATCTAGCCTTTCCAGTGAGGTAGGGTCTAGGCCAAAACCGAGGTAGCAAAGATATCGTCATCGTCTTCTTCTTCTTCTTCTTCTTCGATGAGGTTTAACGGAGGTTGGCATCCAATATGTTGCATTACCGCCACCTACTAGACTGAAGTACAATTCCCTTATATTTTGTTTGAAAAATAAAGAAATACCACTACACTCACAAATTCAAAAAATAAAATAAAAATAATAATAATAATTAGCACCGCACTACTCCACTAAATCTATTTTTCCTAGATCATGCCCTCAACCTGAAAGGATGGGACATTACCACTTAACACACCCTGTAACTCTTCTGATGTCAAGTCTTGCACACCCAAATACCTCTCTGCAGCTGCCACCACAACCTCAATTTTCTTCGACTTACGTTCCATCCCTGCAGTACAATTAATAACCATTGCTATAAATGCTAAAAATCCAATCTTACTGAAACATATATCACTTCTTGGCCTATCCCTCTGTACTGGTACAGATCTACTACTCTCACTACTCCTCCCCCTTGACCCATCTTCCTATACTTTCTTCACTGCCTCAGCATATGACAACTTCTGCACTACTCTTACCCTTGAAACCTCAACCTGCCTCTCTCGCACGGGACATTTCTGATCCCCAGCCCCATGGGCACCCCTACAATTAGCACATACCACTACTTTCCCCAATGCTACACATTCCTTTGTCTCATGCCCTTCTGCACACTTCTCACACCTTGGAACCTCCCTCCTACACACTGCTGCCACATGCCCATAAGTTTGACACCTGTAACATCGTAATGTATTCGGCACATAAGCTCGTACAGGATAACTTATACAGTGGGGGAAAAAAGTATTTAGTCAGCCACCGATTGTGCAAGTTCTCCCACTTAAAAAGATGAGAGAGGCCTGTAATTTTCATCATAAGTACACGTCAACTATGACAGACAAAATGAGAGAGAGAAAAATCCAGAAAATCACATTGTAGGATTTTTAATGAATTTATTTGCAAATTATGGTGGAAAATAAGTATTTGGTCAATAACAAAAGTTTCTCAATACTTTGTTATATACCCTTTGTTGGCAATGACACAGGTCAAACGTTTTCTGTAAGTCTTCACAAGGTTTTCACACACTGTTGCTGGTATTTTGGCCCATTCCTCCATGCAGATCTCCTCTAGAGCAGTGATGTTTTGGGGCTGTCGCTGGGCAACACAGACTTTCAACTCCCTCCAAAGATTTTCTATGGGGTTGAGATCTGGAGACTGGCTAGGCCACTCCAGGACCTTGAAATGCTTCTTACGAAGCCACTCCTTCGTTGCCCGGGCGGTGTGTTTGGGATCATTGTCATGCTGAAAGACCCAGCCACGTTTCATCTTCAATTCCCTTGCTGATGGAAGGAGGTTTTCACTCAAAATCTCACGATACATGGCCCCATTCATTCTTTCCTTTACACGGATCAGTCGTCCTGGTCCCTTTGCAGAAAAACAGCCCCAAAGCATGATGTTTCCAACCCCATGCTTCACAGTAGGTATGGTGTTCTTTGGATGCAACTCAGCATTCTTTGTCCTCCAAACACGACGAGTTGAGTTTTTACCAAAAGGTTATATTTTGGTTTCATCTGACCATATGACATTCTCCCAATCCTCTTCTGGATCATCCAAATGCACTCTAGCAAACTTCAGACGGGCCTGGACATGTACTGGCTTAAGCAGGGGGACACGTCTGGCACTGCAGGATTTGAGTCCCTGGCGGCGTAGTGTGTTACTGATGGTAGGCTTTGTTACTTTGGTCCCAGCTCTCTGCAGGTAATTCACTAGGTCCCCCCGTGTGGTTCTGGGATTTTTGCTCACCGTTCTTGTGATCATTTTGACCCCACGGGGTGAGATCTTGCGTGGAGCCCCAGATCGAGGGAGATTATCAGTGGTCTTGTATGTCTTCCATTTCCTAATAATTGCTCCCACAGTTGATTTCTTCAAACCAAGCTGCTTACCTATTGCAGATTCAGTCTTCCCAGCCTGGTGCAGGTCTACAATTTTGTTTCTGGTGTCCTTTGACAGCTCTTTGGTCTTGGCCATAGTGGAGTTTGGAGTGTGACTGTTTGAGGTTGTGGACAGGTGTCTTTTATACTGATAACAAGTTCAAACAGGTGCCATTAATACAGGTAACGAGTGGAGGACAGAGGAGCCTCTTAAAGAAGAAGTTACAGGTCTGTGAGAGCCAGAAATCTTGCTTGTTTGTAGGTGACCAAATACTTATTTTCCACCATAATTTGCAAATAAATTCATTAAAAATCCTACAATGTGATTTTCTGGATTTTTTTTCTCTCAATTTGTCTGTCATAGTTGACGTGTACCTATGATGAAAATTACAGGCCTCTCTCATCTTTTTAAGTGGGAGAACTTGCACAATTGGTGGCTGACTAAATACTTTTTTCCCCCACTGTATATCCTAACTTCATTTTGTCAGGCAAAGACTCAACTTCAAAACTCAAAAGAACAGACAATGACTCTTCTGTTTCCCCACTCTCTCCACCCTGTTTGTGTCGCAACAAAGACAAGCATCATAAACTCCAGGAATCTTCCCCTTCAGTTGGTCAACTTTTACATTTACTGCTACCCCAGTAATCACTCCTTTCAATGGTGCCCTTTTCTTGAGAGCGAAACAATTCACATTTCTTGGCCCCATTTGTTTAACTCCGAGCGCCTTCTCCCTCTGACCAACAGAAACACAAACAATTATCACTAGACCACTTCTGATTACCCTCACCGATTCCACTATACCCAACTATTTTTTCAGCCACCCTGAAACCACAAATGAATC